GTACGTACGTACGTACGTACGTACGTACGTGCGTACGCACGCACTCACGCACGCACACAAATGCTGTGTTGTTTTGGTATTTTTTCGTTCAAGAAATTAACGTTGTTCAAGTTAATGCCGTCAAATGTGAAGGAATTTTTTTAAAATAAACTATGTTTTCATGATCTATGTTTTCATGATCTATGTTTTCAGTTTTAAGACGCTATAATAACAGAATGACCTGCCCAGAACAAAACTTTATTACGATTTGTACAAAATGCAATGTCCATCATTTACAAAACAATTTTCTTACATACACTACATATTTACTCGCATGAATATTGATAACAATCAAACAAAAAATAAAACATAACATTATTTTGTTCACATATAAAACTGCTTTATAACAAGTAAATAAAATGAAAATTGAAACATGTATTACAGTATTTCAAAATTAATCAGAAATGTCAGTCGTGTGCATTTCCATGATTATTTTAATTTTTGCATGCCTCTCAGTTGAGTGTGTTTATGTGAATTATCAAATAGCCATGGCGCTTTTGCGACTCCGTAGAAAATGGTATTGCACGACCGTGCATCTTCATTGTCGGCAACTCGGCAAAATTTCATTACCCTTTGGGACGGATACATTAATCCGAATCGCAACACAGGAAAGATACATTATTTAAATCCACTTATATTTCGAAAATATGAATTTAAAACTTTCAAATAATACAAGAATCTCGAAAATCGATCCACAAATAAAAAAAGTTATCAGAATATAAAATTTCTGCTGCTATAAAATGAATATCAATATTGGCTGTTTTCCCAATCAGTTTATCTGTTAAAGTCTGGTAGCAGGTGCTTGTGATGTCATCAGTCAACTTGTCTTTAGTCGTATGACAATAAACAAATAACGTCTACATGGCGTATCCCAAAGATTTGCAAAAATAACCCATATGTCATCGCGTTTTCAAATCTATACATTAGTAATAACAATATACATGTATAGAGGATATTGAATGAGTGTAGGTTCAATACTGAATTTACTTAACGAATCGACTAAAATCATATTATGCGAGTCTTTGGTGAGCAAAATATTTTTTCATTCAACGTGTTCAATAAATTCAGTAATGAATCTACACGAATATGATAATTAATCTATCACATAACTAAAATAAAGACTGTGTAAAGTGAAAAAAAGAATCATTTTTAATTGACGCGCCTATAGTGTAATACTAGAATTTAGCGCGTCTTTACACTGTGTTTACTTAACGTAAATGGCGTCACGTAAAAACATATGCACGGTTGTGCAATACCATTTTTACGGAGTTGCAAAATCGGCATGGGTTCGTGATAAAGTCACTGATCACATAAACCGCGGCACAGGTGTGTAATAAAGCCATTTAATAGAACAGAACAGAACATAATTTTATTTAGGATTTGTACATAGTACATCATCACTGCAATATAAATACACACATTGTAAATATGTCACGTTTCTATTTAACAAACAATAAAGGATTTAATATATAATATTGAATTCCATGTAAAGTTGGAGAATGAACAATTCTGGATTAAAAATTAAGAGGTTATTATCATCACTTGTAATATGATTTCCTAAGCAGAGTATAAACATATTTGATACAACAAATCAATTGAAATTAGAGTATAAATTTGTAACAAATATAGAATTTAAGTGTTAGTACTAACAAAAGTGTTCCTGATTTTAATCGATTCTCTCAGATATTTAGCTAGATTCATTAGTATAATTTTATTATTAGAAGAAATCAGCTCAATAAAAGTTACACATTGATGGTCTTTTGTAATAATATTGTTTCACATATTTTTTCCTTATGTCTACATAGCTGACTGTCTTTCGACTGACAAACGCGCGCACACTTTGCGACAAATATCTCTTACGCTCTGATGTCATTCCCACGGGCGTAATAACCCTTGGACGGGCACATGAACTGAACCGGAATCCGGGTTCTTTCAAGACTTGGATCAAATGTTCCTCGCCTTCAGGTGTTTTTCTCGCCATTACCACTCCCGGTGTGTCCGACTGGAACCGGAAATGCTGAAATTTTCTATCAATAGAAAAATGATAAATATCCGTTACGACAAATGCAACAAACTTATTTCCTAATATGCATCTATAAATAAAAAAATAAAGATTTTTCAGAGCTTATTTAGAATTATTTAAGTTAAAAGAACGGTAGAGCTTGGAAAGCTCTTACATAGCATGACCGTTAACTTGGTCACGCGGCAGAAAAAAATTGTTTAAAGAATTTTATTTACGTTAAAGTGTATTAAGATGGAGGATATATGCGACGAATTCGTCTGCATAATATTTTGTTCCGAACATTTTACATGTATCCTGTTTCATAATACTATAAATGTGGAGGACATTCTATGTGACAACTCTTTCTTTTCAATTTTCATTGTGTAAAGTATTTTATTAGATATTGCTTATAACTTTTTAAGAAACCATTGAGTAAAATCAAAGAGAAAAAAATACTAGTAAACGATTAATAGAAACAACACACTCTTAAATTTTCATGTATAAGATATTTTCTCTTTCTATGGTTCAGGAACGTAGAGTCTGGAATTGTGAGTTAACAACATTTTTATTTGAATGAGATTAAACCTAGTTTACCTTATACCAATAATTGGTTTGAAAAATCTCTCTAGAAAGGGTTTTTCCATTGCCGCCATGACCACTGAGGTAACATACAGCACTGTTGGTTGTAGATGATTTCTCTGTTACATCGGCCAGCTGTTGAAGAGTTTCTACATCATGCCTCCGGAAATTTAATTTTTAGATGTGCAAATCCCGCATCAACTAAACACCTCGCATGTCCTTAAAAGAAAATTTAAATCATTTTTAATATGGAAAAGCCTTACCTATTGGCGATTTAAAAGGAAAAACATAAATAATTATGCTTTTGAACAAAACTACGGTGTTCATGTTACATATATATTTTGTCCTTGGGGGAAAAAACAGATAAGATTGTCAAAATTTGTTTAGATTGCCCCAGTTACTAGAAGTTAAAAAAGAATCTAAGTAATTAAGATTTTCTTGAATCAGTACCTGGTACTTGCATATGCATACTCGATCTTTTCATTCTGTCCTGTCATAACGCGCCACATAAAATATCCAATAGTGTAACGGTTTTATTTTTGCCCTGAAAAATAAGGCATGCTAGTTAAAATATAGTTCAATTAATTTGTATGGAGCAATAGCAATTGAGTTATACACAATAAGTATTTTAATTGTGGAAAAAATAGTAAGACTGATATTTTTAACTATGTACAGACATGCATTTAATTGCATTACTTGTATTGATACTGCAGTACCTAGTGCATATTTATTTTGCAAATACTGCATAAGTACTGTCACACACAAGATATGCTGCCACTTGTACTGGTACTGAATAACTGCTCAAAATTTGGTACTGGTACTGCATTTGGCACTACTTTGGATTTCATTATAAATTGGAAAAGAACATTTTTATAACATATATTGTTCTATTTAATGGAAAGTTTATACTTTTACATTACGGACATTTTGTTGTGACAGTCTGTATGCAAACTAAGTACTGGTATTTCTCCTGATATTACATAAGTTGAAACTGGTTCTGGTATTAATTTTAAAAAGTATATATATCGCAAGTATTAATATAATTTTATATCTGATCGTTAAGATGGTAGTTAAGGTGATATAATTAACCGCATTGTAAATATTATGTTGAAAATAAAAATAATTACCTGGGCAATTATCCGAGTGTATCGACAAGGCAGGGATCTGAACAAGACTGTTTGTACAGCTGATGCATGTCTTTTTTGGTTGTGTCAGACGTCAGATACACTGGTGGGATGTTGTCTAGGCAACGAGGGGCTGCAGGTTGAGGGAGACCTCTTTCTTCTGCATAATTTCGGATGAAATAAACAACGCGTATGACATCATCATACGTAATAGAATGCTTTGGTTTTTTACCTGCGTTGCCATGCTGCCTTGGAGTTACGCCGTGATGACTGACACTGATCACATAAACCGCGGCACAGGTGTGTAATAAAGCCATTTAATAAATACGCTGTCACACTGGTGTAATAACGCTTTGACGTTACGTCAATAATTTTGCGCTATATATAATCATAGCGTTCAAGAGCTATAATGTATTAAGCGTTACACTAAAGGCGTGACAATGAATAATGACTCTATTTAACAGTTTTTCTTATTTTGTATATGTGATAAAGATAATATTATATTCATTTTGATTCAATACTTAATATATTAAACTCATGAATAAAACAATACCATGCATATCATTTTATTCAACTCGTTCAATAAATTAGTATTAAACCTACACTCATACAATATCCTCTGAATATTACATGCAACATTTTTTACTACATGAAGTATATACATATTAAACTTTTTTGTAATTGATTCATTGCTCCCTTGTGAATGGTCATTTGCATTTTTGCCCTTTTCTTTCAGTTATTTATAATTACTAATTTCACAACTGGGTCCAACATGGTTTTTTTGCATGTAAAATTTGTATTTTTTGTAAAATTACCTGAGTGCCTGAAGGCCGCATTGCAAATTTGACATCTAAAGTTCGATTAACCAGTGTGAATTTTCATATGTGAAGTAAGATTAGATTTATAGTGAAAATGTTTATCACATAGATCACATTTAAAAAATTTCAAGCCATTGTGGATAATCATATGTGAATTCAAATTACTTTTTGTAAGAATGTGTTATCTCACTTTTCACATGTATAATTTTTCTCACCGGTGTGAATTAACAAATGCGTTTTAAGTGATTCTTTTCGAGTAAATGTTTTATCACATATTGTACATTGAAAGTCTTTTTGGGCAGTATGAATTGTCAATGCCTTTTAAGACCACACTTTTGCGCGAATTTTTTTCGCATATTTCACACTTATTATTTTATGATTCCTGAGTGAATGTTCATATGCCTTTGAAGATGAACTATTTGAGTGCACATGTCACATTTACGCTTTTTTTGTACCAGTGTGAATGGCCATATGTACTTTGAGAGTACAACCACGGGCAAATGCTTTGTCACATATTTCACACACATAGTTCTTTTCACCAGTATGAATTCGCAAATGTCTTTTAAGATTACTGCTATACGCGAATGAGACATAACAAATTTCACATGTAAAATTCTTTTCTCCTGTATGAATTCTAAAATGATTTTTAAGGTCACGTTTAACATAAAATGATTTTTCACAATTTTCACATTTATTATTTTTCTCACCAGTGTGAATTAAAGTATGATCTTTCAGTTGACTATAACAAGTAAAGGACTTATCACATAGATCACATTTAAAATCTTTCAAGCCAGTGTGGATAATCATATGTGAATTCAAATGACCTTTTTGTAGGAATGTTTTTTCACACTTTTCACATGGATAATTTTTCTCACCGGTGTGAATTAACATATGCATTTTAAGTGATTTTTTCCGAGCAAATGTGTTATTACATATTGTACATTTGAAGTCTTTTTGGCCAGTGTGAATTGTCAAATGCATTTTAAGTCCACACTTTCGAGCGAATGTTTTCTCACATATTTCACACTTATACTTTTTTATTCCTGTGTGAATGTTCATATGCCTTTGAAGATTAACTTTTTTAGTGAATGATTTACTGCATACGTCACACTTATAGCTTTTTGTACCAGTGTGAACGACCATATGTAATTTGAGACCACTTCCACGGGCAAATGCTTTGTCACATATTTCACACACATAGTTCTTTTCACCAGTATGAATTCGCAAATGTTCTTTAAGAGTACTGCTACACGTGAATGAGACATCACAAATTTTACATGTGAAATTCCTCTCTCCTGTATGTATTCTAAAATGATTATTAAGTGCATATTTAAAATAAAATGACTTTTCACAATTTTCACATTTATAATTTTTCTCACCAGTATGAATTCGAGTATGAGCTTTCAGATTACAATAACTAGAGAAGGATTTATCACACACATCACATCTATAGTTTTTCTCACCAGTGTGAATTATCATGTGTGATGTAAGTTGACATAAGAAAGAAAATACTTTATAGCATATTTCACATCTATGTTTCTCCCCTTCGTTATGGCTAGTCATTTTGCGCTGATACTGCTTCCCGGAGATAATCCAAGTATTCCCTTAACTTCTCTGTTTCTCTGCGTTTTTTGTGTTTTTGTTGTTGTTGTTGTTGTTGTTGTTGTTGTTTGTGTTTTTTTTTCACATGGAAGGCATTAACCTGAGTACAAATATAGAATATATTTATTGTTTAAGGATATTGCTTTCCACTTATTATTTAATGGAATGGAATTCAACTGTAATTAACATATTTCTTATCATTTAGCTTCGTTCATATAAACGCTACTTCCATTGTTCTATTCTGTATAATAATATAATTTCTAATGTTTAACATGTTTTCCTTTGTCATATATAATTATCATTTTTAAGGTAGTCTAACTGTAATGTTTTCCCGCCAATAACAATCTAATATCGGCCAGTATGGAAGCAAATCGGTTATTTCCGAAACTCTATTTTTTTTAATCTTGGCCATTTGCTCATTTAAAATCACTCGTCCTTTATCGCTATGTACTAAATTCCGGTCATAAATGGCTAAAAATTATTGAATACCGAAGATTATGATAATAACGTTTACGGAAATGACCGATTTGCTACGATATTGGCCGATATAAGAACTGTTTTGGCAAGAAAGCATTACAGAAATGCTAGTAGTCCGAAAATTTAGCAAAATTAATAATGAGCTTTATGCAAAATTCTCATAAATAATAAATCTCGTTTATCCTGCCAAATTTTTTGCAAAAAAGGCCCATTATGCCTAAGAAATGCTTTTATTCATATTTCTAGAAAAACTTTCTTTTTTTTTTTTTGATATACTTAAATAGGCTCCAAAAAGTTTCTGATAGGCTAATTACCTGAACCATGTTTCATCTGCAGAACTTTTGCAGTTGGTACCGTTTAAGTGATTTAGTATTTTGTATGGAAGTCAAAATACCACTTTGTTTACATTTTACTTCTTTTGTGGCACATTATTTTGCATTTATCACTTATTTCTTGAGGAAACAAGCATCTCACTTGCTCAGAAATCATTTTTAAATGTTAAAAAATTCATGTTTGCTCTTTTTTAAGAAGTAAAAAATTATACATTTCTGAGGCATAATGTACCTTTAAAGGAAATCAACATAAATGCAACTGGATACATATATATATAAATATGATATGATGTAGAACGAGATAAAGAAAACTGAAGCTGATCAATTTTAATAAAATAATTTAGTAAAGTATATTTACTTGATAGTTTGCTTGCATCCCAGGTTATCAATTGAAAATATTTCTTCCAAGATATTTGCGACGCGCACTAAGGTTTCAGCTTGTGACATGTACATAGTGATGTTTCGACTTACTAAGCCTAACCTTTTATACAGTTAGCATGCATTAATTATCGACTCAATTGTTTCCTGTTTAGTAATGAAAAGAGTAAATAATTGTATATAATTAGGGTATATCCATTGTCACCCGGATGTAATCAATTAAGTTGATAATTGAGTTATTTTAATACATTGACATATCCTAAGAGATAAAAAAAATGATAACATCTTTGTTAATTGTATGTAATTTGCAAGTGCAATGAATGTGTTGATCATGGTAGTTTTGATGTAAATATTTTTGTCTGTTATGAAAAGAACAGAAAAATAGCAAACTTACCTTAAAAAATATAGTGTCTAGCGCAACGTATTGTTTAGTATGTTTACTTGCAAAAGGCGTTCCTGAATTAAAGGGCCGTAACTCGTCATGATTGTTTTATTATTATTGTCTTTTCTGAAAACATTTTATGTACTCTCTGTGCAATAACATACAACGTGTAGTCACGTGATTCTTACTAAGAAACAGGGAGAAATAGTTTATGACTAAATAAAATGATAAAATAATATAGTTATCACATATTGTACATTTAAAGTCTTTTTGACCAGTGTGAATTTTCAAATGCCTTTTAAGTCCACACTTTCGAGCGAATGTTTTCTCACATATTTCACACTTATACTTTTTGATTCCTGTGTGAGTGTTCATGTGCGTTTGAAGACCACTTCTTTGAGTGAATGATTTACTGCATACGTCACACTTATAGCTTTTTGTACCAGTGTGAACGACCATATGTAATTTGAGACCACTTCCACGGGTAAATGCTTTATCACATATTTCACACACATAGTTCTTTTCACCAGTATGAATTGACACATAGTTCTTTTCACCAGTATGAATTCGCAAATGACTTTTAAGACTACTGCTATATGTGAATGAGACATCACAAATTTTACATATGAAATTCTTTTCTCCTGTATGAATTCTAAAATGTCTTTTAAGTTCATAATTAAAATAAAATGATTTTTCACAATTTTCACATTTATAATTTTTCTCACCAGTGTGAATTAGAGTATGAGCTTTCAGTTTACTATAACTAGGGAAGGACTTATCACACACATCACATCTATAGTTTTTCTCACCAGTGTGAATTTTCATGTGTGATGTAAGTTGACTTACGAAAAAAAATACTTTATAGCATATTTCACATCTATGTTTCCCTCTTTCCTTATGGCTAGTCATTTTTGCGCTGATACTGCTTCCCGGAAATAATCCAAGTATTCCTTTAACTTCTCTCTGTTTCTCTGCGGTTTTTTTTTTTGTTGTTTTTTTTTTTTTTTGTTTTTTTCACATGGAGGACATTAACCTGGTTTCAAATATAGAATATATTTATTAATTTTAGGATATTGCTTTCCACTTACAATTTAATAGAATGGAATTGAACTGTTTTTAACATATTTCTTATCATTTAGCTTTATTCATATGAACTCTATTTCCATTGTTCAATTCTGTACAACAATTACATAATTACTAATGTTTAACATGTTTTCCTTTGTCATAATATATATTTATCCTTAGTTAAGGTAATCTTACTGTAATGTTTTTCCGCCAAAAATTCTATCCCTTCAAATCGTCCCCGACGGATACAATATGATCACAACCATTATCTCTACAAAATATATAGAATGAACAACAGAACATTTTAGTTATGAAATAAAGTTAAATGTGTTGCAAGCGACTTGGTTGTAGCTGACTGTACATGAAATGAACCAACATATATATGTACAAATAAACCCTCATTTGCAAATAACATAAATTAATTTAATTCGTTTCATAAATTACATGTAAATAACTTCAGTCAAAATACAAGACACATTACTAGAAAAGATGGAACACGTACATCTATTGTCTAAAATCCTTAACAAAACTTATAATAAAAATCTTAATTTACTTCTTCGGACATGTTGACAGTCGGTTAACCAAGCGCTGAATGAATTTGCAACGCTATTGCTGAATTTGGCCCGAATAGCGCCCTCATATGATCCGACGGGAACAAAACCAGGGGAAATAATTTTCTTCTAATGCACTTTGTTTAAACGAAGACAATTTTATATATCTGCCAGTATCGAAGCAAATATGTTATTTCCGAAACGTTGTTTTTTTTTTTCAAAATCTTGGAAATTTGCTTATTTAAAATCACTCGTCCATTAGCGCTTTGTAGTACATACCGGTTAAAAAATGGCTAAATATTATTGGATATCGACGATTGTGAAAAATAACGTTTCGGAAATGGCCGATTTATTACGATATTGGCCGATATTGTTTTGGCGAGAACGTATAACAAGAATGCTAATAGCCGGAAAATTTAGCAAAATTAATAATGAAATTTATATAAAATTCTCATAAATAAATAAATACAAAATTTATATTGCCAAATTATGCCTCAGAAATGTTTTTATTTATATTTCTCAAAAGTTTTTTTTAAAAGGCTCAAAAAAAACTCATTGGCTAAATACTGAACCAATTTTTTTTTTCATCTGCAGCTTTTTTGCAGTTGGTACAGTTAAAGTGATTTAGTATTTTTGAATGGAAGTCAAAATACTACTTTGTTAACATTTTTCTACTTTTGTGACACATTATTTTACTTTTATCGCTAATTTCCTAAGGAAACAAGTATCTTATTTGCTCAGAAATCATTTTTTAAATGTTAAAAAATTCATGTTTGCTCTTTCTTAAGAAGTAAAAATTTATACATTTCTGAGGCATAATGTACCTTTAAAGAAAATCAACATAAATACAAGTGGATACATGTATATAAAAATGTAATATGATGTAGAACGAGATAAAGAATACTGAGCTGATCAATTTTAATAAAGTAATTTATATATATTTACTTGATAGTTTGCTTGTATTCCAGGTTATCAATTGAAAATATTTCTGATATATTTGAGTCAAGATATTTTTGACGCGCAATACTTGAGGCTGCAACTTGTGACAAAGTGATGTTTCGACTTACTAAGCCTATCTTTTTATACATTATATATATAAATATTTGTTCTTAAAAGAAAATCATTATGCATATTTATTTATATTTTTTTGTAAATGAATTTCATCATTTTTCGGCTGCACAAGTATTGCACTCAATCCTTTGCAGATTTTTTCCCCATTTTGAGTGATTTTATTTCATCCTTGTAAAGACATTAAAATTAAATTAAAAAGTTTATCTCATAAAGTATATAAATGCAACACCTATAGCATAATACTATTTAACATTGCATCGAGAGCGCATAAAATATTTTCAGAAAATATAATTATTTACATTCAAACTACCAGGATCAACACATTCATGACACTTGCTAATTACAATCAATTAACAAAGATGTTATCATTTTATCTCTTAGGATGATATGTCAAATTATTAATTAAACACAATTATCAATTATCAACTTAATTGATGACTTCCGAATGTCAGTGAATAGACCCTATTTATATATATTTACTCTTTTCATAACTAAACAGGAAACAATTGAAGAGTCGATAATTAATGCATGCTAACTGTATTAAAAGTTCGGCTTAGTAAGTCGAAATATCACTTTGTAACAAGTTGCAGCATTAAGAAGTGCGCCTCCGAAATATCTTGAATCAAATATATAAGAAATATTTTCAATTTATAACCTGGAATGCAAGTAAACTATCAAGTAAATATACTTTACTAAATTACTTCATTAAAATTGAAGTTCTGCACCATATAACATTTTAATATGCATGTATCCAGTTGTATTTATGTTGATTTTCT